ACTGGGAAGGAGGTTCACCTTCCAGCAGGACAGTGACCCTAAGCATACTGCTAAAGCAACACTCGAGTGGTTTAAGGGGAAACATTTAAATGTCTTGGAATGGCCTAGTCAAAGCCCAGACCTCAATGCAATTGAGAATCTGTGGTATGACTTAAGAATTGCTGTACACCAGTGGAACCCATCCAACTTGAAGGAGCTGGAGAAGTTTTTCCTTGAAGAATGGGCAAAAATCCCAGTGGCTAGATGTGCCAAGCTTATAGAGACATACCCCAAGAGACTTGCAGCTGTAATTGCTGCAAAAGGTGGCTCTACAAAGTATTGACTTGGGGGGGGGGGGGGGGGGGGGGGGTGAATAGTTACGCACGCTCAAGTTCAGTTTTTTGTCTTATTTCTTGTTTGTCTCACAAAAACAATTATTTTGCATCTTCAAAGTTGTAGGCATGTTGTGTAAATCAAATTATACAAACCCCCCAAAAATCAATTTTAATTCCAGGTTGTAAGGCAACAAAATCGGAAAAATGCCAAGGGGGGTGAATACTTTCACAAGCCACTGTATAGACTACCACAGTACCATAACTGGCTGAAATAGGCCGATACATATAGACTACCACAGTACCATAACTGGCTGAAATAAGCCGATACATATAGACTACCACAGTACCATAACTGGCTGAAATAGGCTGGTACATATAGACTACCACAGAACCATAACTGGCTGAAATAGGCCGATACATGTAGACTACCACAGAACCATAACTGGCTGAAATAGGCCGATACATATAGACTACCACAGAACCATAACTGGCTGAAATAGGCCGGTACATATAGACTACCACAGTACCATAACGGTGGATGAAATAGGCCGGTACATATAGACTACCACAGTACCATAACGGTGGATGAAAGAGGCCGGTACATATAGACTACCACAGTACCATAACGGTGGATGAAATAGGCCGGTACATATAGACTACCACAGTACCATAACGGTGGATGAAATAGGCCGGTACATATAGACTACCACACTACCATAATGGTGGATGAAATAGGCCGATACATATAGACTACCACACTACCATAACGGTGGATGAAATAGGCCGGTACATATAGACTACCACACTACCATAACGGTGGATGAAATAGGCCGGTACATATAGACTACCACAGTACCATAACGGTGGATGAAATAGGCCGGTACATATAGACTACCACAGTACCATAACGGTGGATGAAATAGGCCGGAACATATAGACCACCACAGAACCATAACGGTGGATGAAATAGGCCGGTACATATAGACTACCACAGTACCATAACGGTGGATGAAATAGGCCGGTACATATAGACTACCACACTACCATAACGGTGGATGAAATAGGCCGGTACATATAGACTACCACAGAACCATAACTGGCTGAAATAGGCTGGTACATATAGACTACCACAGTACCACAAAGGTGGATGAAATAGGCCGGTACATATAGACTACCACAGTACCACAAAGGTGGATGAAATAGGCCGGTACATATAGACTACCACAGTACCATAACGGTGGATGAAATAGGCCGGTACATATAGACTACCACAGTACCATAACGGTGGATGAAATAGGCCGGAACATATAGACTACCACACTACCATAACATTTACATTACATTTACGTCATTTAGCAGACGCTCTTATCCAGAGCGACTTACAGTTAGCACATACATTATTTTATCGAACCCACAACCCTGACGTTGCAAACGCCATGCTCCACCAACTGAGCTACATCCCCTGCCGGCCATTCCCTCCCCTACCCTGGACGACTTGTGCGCCGCCCCATGGGTCTCCCGGTCGCGGCCGGCTACTTTACTATCCTAGTTTACTTATTTTACTATCCTCCTGAGGACTTCTGGTCCCCACAAGGACAGAAAAACAAAACACACACACACAGGGTGATGGAATAAGTTGGAAAAGCAAAGAAGGCCTTCACCATGGTTTGAAATGAAGTTTATTTTCTGCAGTGATACAGCAGCTGCAGTGTACATGTTTCAGTGTTACGGCAGCACAGTGACTTCATCATTCCATTCATACTACTGTCAACACACTGCAGTACCAAGACAAGATTCCACGTGTACGTTATAGATCTCTAGCTCCCTCCTGTGGCAGACTGTTGTACCTTAACCAGTCTTTCCAGAGTCTAGACATATGGGTTGCGTCTCACAATTGTCAAATGCCTAAGGGGTCGGGTTTACGAGACTATGACCCTCCAGCAGTTGATTCACTATAGGCCTGCACGTGATATCATAGAAGTTCCTGTTTAGAACAGATATCCTTGTCTGTCAGATATAACATGGGGTCGTCTCAGCTTTATCTTTAATGATGAAAATCTCACTGAATACACCCCTGAGCTACGGTCAACAGCCAAACGTTGTTTAACATTGCAGATAGAAATGCCATGAACAGAGCTAACGTGATTCCCTAGTCTATGTCAGAGGCGTGTTAATTCTACATAGCATATTTCTATCTTGAACGTTCCAAAACGTTGCGTCCTGCTGAACGCACCCCTGGGCCCGGTTTCCCAATAGCGATGGAACTTAGGCTAACGAGTGTTTTAACGATACATCGTTCCTACAACGGGCGAAGATGCAGCATGCGTTTCTCAAAACACCATGCAGAGAGAACGTCTGCTAGGTGCGTCGTTGGAGCGTGTGTCGATACTGATAGGACAGAAAGAAAGGCAGCGCTGCTCTCGGATCAGCTTTCTCCCTTCACATCTTGCCTTAAAGGGGGGTCTGAGCTTCCTGACTTGGACAAAGGCACTTCATTAAGACCTATTGTTATCACAGTATTACATCTCTTGCTCCATCCACCTTTCTCTCTCGTTAACTTTCTCTCTCCTCCTCCTCCTCAATCTGTCCCTCTGCCTTTTTCTCTATTCTCATGTTGTTACATCGCTATCCATTTCTGTGTCTGTCCCTCTCTTGCTCTCTCTTCCTCTGTTTTCCTGTTCTCTATCCATTTCTGTGTCTGTCCCTCTCTTGCTCTCTCTTCCTCTGTTTTCCTGTACATTCTCATTCCTTCTCTTTCTTCTCCCATCTCTCTCTCTATGAACTTGTCAGAAGGAAGACCAGTAAACATGAAAACAGACCAGTAAACATTTAACAGAGCAGTAAACATCAAAACGGACCATCAAACATCCAAACAAAGACCAGTAAACATCAAAACAAAGCAGTAAACATGAAAACAGAGACCAGTAAACATGAAAACAGAGACCAGTAAACTTCAAAACAAAGCAGTAAACATGAAAACAGAGACCAGTAAACATGAAAACAGAGACCAGTAAACATCAAAACAAAGACCAGTAAACATCAAAACAGAGACCAGTAAACATCAAAACAGAGCAGTAAACATCAAAACAGAGCAGTAAACATCAAAACAAAGCAGTAAACATCGAAACAGACCAGTAAACATCAAAACAGCCAGTAAACATCAAAACAGAGACCAGTAAACATCACAACAGCCAGTAAACATAAAAACAAAGCACTAAACATCAAAACAGACCAGTAAACATCAAAACAGAGCAGTAAAAATCACAACAGAAAGTAAACATCAAAACAAAGCAGTAAACATCAAAACAGAGCAGTAAACATCAAAACACACCAGTAAACATCAAAACAGACCAGTAAACATCACAACAGCCAGTAAACATCAAAACAAAGCAGTAAACATCAAAACAAAGCAGTAAACATCAAAACAGAGCAGTAAACATCAAAACAGAGCAGTAAACATCACAACAGCCAGTAAACATCAAAACAAACAGTAAACATCAAAACAAAGCAGTAAACATCAAAACAGAGCAGTAAACATCAAAACAGAGACCAGTAAACATAAAAAGAGACCAGTAAACATCACAACAGCCAGTAAACATCAAAAAAAAGCAGTAAACATCAAAACAAAGCAGTAAACATCAAAACAGAGCAGTAAACATAAAAACAGAGCTGTAAACATCACAACAGAGACCAGTAAACATCACAACAGCCAGTAAACATCAAAACAAAGCAGTAAACATCAAAACAGACCAGTAAACATCAAAACAGACCAGTAAACATCAAAACAGAGACCAGTAAACATCACAACAGCCAGTAAACATCAAAACAAAGCAGTAAACATCAAAACAAAGCAGTAAACATGAAAACAGAGCAGTAAACATCACAACAGAGAAGTAAACATCACAACAGCCAGTAAACATCAAAACAAAGCAGTAAACATCAACACAGACCAGTAAACATCAAAACAGAGCAGTAAACATCAAAACAGAGACCAGTAAACATCACAACAGCCAGTAAACATCAAAACAAAGCAGTAAACATCAAAAAAAGCAGTAAACATCAAAACAGAGCAGTAAACATCAAAACAGACCAGTAAACATGAAAACAGAGACCAGTAAACATCACAACAGCCAGTAAACATCAAAACAAAGCAGTAAACATCAAAACAAAGACCAGTAAACATCAAAACAGAAGAGTAAATGTCAAAACAGAGCAGTAAACATCAAAACAGCCAGTAAACATCAAAACAGAGCAGTAAACATCACAACAGCCAGTAAACATCAAAACAAACAGTAAACATCAAAACAAAGCAGTAAACATCAAGACAGAGCAGTAACAATCAAAACAGAGACCAGTAAACATCAAAAGAGACCAGTAAACATCACAACAGCCAGTTGTCACGGTTTCGGCCGAGGCTGCCTCTCTCCCTTGTTCGGGCAGGCTTCGGCGTTCGTCGTCTCCGGAATTCTAGCTGCCACCGATAGATGTTTCATGTTTTGTTGTT